GCCTGCAGGAGGAGGCGGGTGGCGGGGGCGTCTCGGGTGCCGGGGTGCCAGGCTGAGTCGGGGCCACGCAGGCCAGCCCGCCGGCGCACCCCTCGGCCTGTCCGAGCGAGGTTTGCGCTGCACGGTGTGGGGGAGGGCGGTGAGACGCGGCTCGGGGACGCACGTCTGACTCCGTGTCCACGCCGGCGGAGGGGGTGAGCGGGGCCGTGGCGGCCAGGTCTCCCAGAGGGCAGGCGCCCCCGCCCCGCCGGGGCCAACAAGGGGCCACTTTCTTGCTGGAGGAACAGGAGGGCACCTTGAGGTCAGTCTTCTGAGCCTGACCCTGAGGCCAGCATATAAGGCTGCCCGGAGCTGAGGGGGGCTGGTTGGACCTCTGTGCTCAGAGCCCCCTGCCTGGTCCCCGCGCAGGCTGGGGTACAGGCCCAGGATGGCAGCCACCGGGGGAGCCCTTAAGCCACGCCCCGGCCGCTGAGCAGAGGCCCCGGCCCAAAGCTGGGCTCCTCCCTGGGGTTAGCGTTAGGACGGAGGAAGTGGCCGGTGCTGGTCACCCCGCAGGTGCTGCTGTGTGGCGGGACTGATGCTGGCCTGGCGCCCAGCGGTCACTGCACCGTGGGTACGGGGCAGCTGCCCGACCCTGGGCCCCGCCATGCCCTGGGTCCATGGGTACAGGGGGCGCCTGGCAGCCGTCCAGCGCTGGACACGCTCTCCGAGCTTCTGTTTGAGCGTCACAGAAGCCTCCGCAGGCGCCTCGGTGACGCGTCTGCGCCGGGCCCGCTGCTGACAGGCTGGGCGCGGGGGACAGCTGTGGGAGGGCTCCTCGGACGCGGCGACATCTGGCCACTGTCACTCTGGGCGTGATCTGGGTGCTGGGGCTTCTCGGGGACAGCAGCTGTGAGCGGGACGCTCTGGGCTTCTTCTCGAGAGCCGCCCGCCCCCGCGGCCCCAGACCGCAGAGCGCCAGCCTCTCCGCCGGGGTCCTCCTGCCGCCGGCCGGCCGGGGGCGGCTGCTCGGCCTGGAGCCTCGGTCTGGCCGAGGGAGCGCACACAGGCTCTGGCCTCGGCCCCCGCTCAGGCTCTGTCCCCTCCCGGCACAGGTCCCGCCTGCCCTCAGGCTGATGCCCATCCAGCCCGCCGAGCCCCCGGCATGGAGTGAGTCTATGCACCCCCTGCGGATAAGCGTGGGGGGCCTCCCGGTGCTGGCGTCCATGACCAAGGCCGCGGACCCCCGCTTCCGCCCCCGCTGGAAGGTCATCCTGCCCTCCTTCGTGGGCGCCACCGTCCTCTGGCTGCTGTGTGCCCACCGCCCGCCCCCGGGCAGGCCCCTTGCACCCAGTGCCCACCGCTGGGGGCCCGGCCTGGCGCCCGAGGACCAGTACAATGACACGTACCCGCTGTCGGCCCCCCAGAGGACGCCGGGCGGGACTCGGTACCGCATCGCGGTCATCGCCGACCTGGACACGGACTCCAAGGCCGCGGAGGAGAACACCTGGTTCAGTTACCTGAAGAAGGGCTACCTGACCCTGTCGGACAGCGGGGACAGGGTGTCTGTGGAGTGGGACCCGGGCCACGGGGTCCTGGAGTCCCACCTGGCGGAGAAGGGGCGGGGCATGGAGCTGTCCGACCTGGCGGTCTTCGACGGCAAGCTCTACTCCGTGGACGACCGCACCGGCGTGGTCTACCGCATCGAGGGCACCAGGGCCGTGCCCTGGGTCATCCTCTCCGACGGCGACGGCACGGTGAGCAAAGGTGAGCGGCCGCTGCGGCCTGCCCGGGCCTCTGCACGCTTGAGGC